AAGATTTTGAAAACTGCATGTTCTAGTAGAAAAGAATCAATGTGGGGAATGGCTAAGATGTTGGGTCAGCCTCATGGATATTGAGGATCACGTCTACCTTTGCCCTAGAATAGGGGTGCCAAACTCAATTTCACTGAGGGCCGCATCAGGGTTGTGTATGACCTCAGAGGGCTGGGTGTGTGTGGCTGGGGTGTGTGTGTGGCGGTGGTGGCCATGACATGGTTTTATAAAAATAGTGAGGTGTACATTTCTTTGGTTTTGTTTTTTTAATACATTCTTGATCTACTTGATCACCTTATGATATCAGATCAAGAAACTGACTTCATAGGAAGACTAGAACTATAAATTATTGGCTATAGTAGCAGAATAGGCTTCAGTAGCAGAATCCTACAAGCCTGAAAGGTAAAATATTTTACCTTTCCTCCCTTTTATAACCTTCTGAATCAAGGAAGGCCTCCTACAGCACTGTGGCAGCCAAAACACAGCACAGAGAACCACACACAGCCCACCATGTCCCGTTCTGGGCCTGGATGGCCTCCTGCAGCACTCTGGCATCCAAAACTCCGTGCCCCGTTTTGGTTGCAAGAGTGCTGCAGGAGGCCATCCAGGCCCAGAAAGGGGCATGGGGGCTGCATGCAGGCCTCCCTCGCCTCATTTTCAGTAGCAGAAGCACCGTGGGCCAGTCCTTTGCTATTTCTAGGCTGGTCCCGCGGGCCAGATTTAAGCACCCCATGGGCCAGTTCCGTCCATGGGCCTTGAGTATGACACCCGTGCCCTAAAAGCTCACTAGGAAACTTTGGACAAGTCCTTCTCCCTCAGCCAAAGCACAGGACTCCTGTTGGGAAGAAAACTAAAAGGACAGAGAGTGATGTGTCCTTTCTTGAACAACTGTACAAAGAGTGAGATACAAGTCTGAGAAAGCAACTAATATAAAGCGAACCTTGTAGACATCCAGCAAAATTCTTATGGATCTTTTGTCAGATATTGCAATGTTGTTCAATATGATGACTGTGATTCATACCATTGTTCTTTCAAAATATTCCCAATCTAAGAACTTTAACCTAAGAACCACCTCCCTGTAGTATCATCCAATCAAATTCACTTTGTTTTAGGAAACATTAGCATTTATATTCACTGTATATTATTTCACCATCTTACTTTGTACCAATTCACACTTCCCTCATGCAATTTTCCCGTATTAACCTCTCTCTCTTTTTCATACCTACACATTTGCATGGTCTCTACTTATTTCTAGTGCATTTCTGAAAGTAATAGAGAAAAACAGGATAAGTGGTTTGCCCATATGGTGATACTCATTTATAGGAAATGTATTAAGGCATGAGGCTTAAAGTACATGGTGTTTAGAATAAGAATATAAACAGTATTCGTTCTGAAATAACAAAAAAACAAAACACCCATGTATATAAATACAGTGAGGAACAAATAACAGATGATGCATGTCTCACATGAACATTCTATATATGTACACCTTAATAATTAACTTTAATTAAATCTTTGGGGAGGAATGTTTTGAGAGATTAATCAATTCTACCTTACTTCAGAATAGATACACATCTGCAGTGGTATATGGGGATGACTTTGAGAGACAGCTGGGGCAGCTGAACTTCCAAAAAGATTGTCGGTATGGCAAACATCTGATAAGGAATCCTCTCTAGTTTCTTAGACTACAAAGACAAAAGGAAGGTATGCTTTCAGGCTTCCAATATTCTGTTAACACAACCTTACAATAAAGTAAATTTAGTTCATCTGTTTGTGCTTCCTGTCTGGATTGTCTCAGTAGGCTGGTATCTATCTTGCAAGTCTGGAAGTCCATTTCTCTCCTTTTGCTTTTCCAGCCCACATAAATTACAGAAGTTTCCATCTGAGATGTTTGCCTACACACACACACACACACACACACACACACACTTTATTTGTTTGTTTGTTTGCTTGCTGGCTAAGGTGCCATTGGTCCCACAGTTGTTTGGGCTCTTCCACATTTTCCAAAGTCATTTCCACATACCATTACACCATCACTCCTTTTTTGTGTTAGTTTTTCCTCCAAAATATATATTTCACAAAGTGTATAATTTAAAGAATCCTACATAATTTCATTCAAAAAACTTTCTCTTGAGAAAAAAAAGTTACTCAAAATACTTTCCACATACACGTAGGTGCCATTTTTACTTTATTTAAGGAAAAAATGGGTGGGAAACAGTAATTTATAATACACAAAAAAATTAGACATCACTGCAAAAAGGCTAGGTGTTTCCTTGTCACCAGTCTATTTTGCAGTTCTACAATTAGTAATTTTACTGCAATTTTGTCATTTGTATTATTGTTTAAGCATCTTCATAGATGGCAATACCTGGGGTTATTTTTAAAAAAAAAACACACAAAAATGTGTACTGCTATCACTATGAAAACCTAAACCCCACAAAATCACTTTGAAATAAACCATAAATATGTGATGCACATTAGTGTAACAAAACCATTTTTGTAAACATTTTTCTCCAACATAACATGTGCATACAATAAAAATAAAGTCACTGCATTCATACAGTTAGAATTACTTTGACATAGGATACAGAAATTATTACTTAAAGCTTAAACTAAACTAAGAGTACTCTTAATGCTTACCAACAGCACTGCTTTAAAATGGATTTCAACATTTCGTATGTAGTGGTTTCATAACACTGATTTGATTTGTAAAATTAGCCACCATGGATATGTTTTTCCATGTTCCGTTCATTCTGATGGACAGAGCTTCACCAGCATATGAATCTGGCAGAATTCTTCAAAATTACAACATTCTCCCATTTGTGAACAGTAGTCTCTTTTTAACTATTTACATACATATATCTGCTTATATATATATATATATGTATGAGTATGCATTGGGTTGTGTGTACACACACATGCATACAGACATGGTGGCTGAGAGGCAAGGGCAAAAATTAAATGAGTTTTAATCACATAATGTGATTCTAAACTTTTCCTAAGAGCCTCTGGCCCATTGGCTTTATTGTCTTATGCTACAGTTCCAGTGCCAGAGAGACTTCTATTGCTGGTGGCAACACCAATTTCCCGCATCCCCTTCATTTTCCACTATCCAATCAAGAGTTGACTTTTTTGACTGTTTGCTAAGAGGAATGAAGGGAAGTGAAAGTCACCTGTAATCTTGGGTCTGACATTCAGGGCTTTGGATAATCCAAATCCAAATGCCAAGCAATTAAAGAAGGCATTATTGTTAGTTTTTGTTTTTTTAAATCAAACCAGAAATTTGTTCCTATTTGTTTTATACAAGATTACTTTTGAGGAAAGAGAAACCCTTCCAACTCTTCAAAGAAACTGCTTAATACAGAGGAGAAAGTTAGTAAGAAAAAAACCCAGCACTTTTACTGATGACCTAAGTACTGTTAAGTCAGATCTAGGCTCCTTCAATTGATTCTCTTTGACACAAAGCAAGTCATTTGCTCTATGTTACTTGATCTGCCAAAGCCTCTTAACTGAAGAATCACACATAAGTCCCTAATTTTCATGCCATGAAACACTGGAATCCAATTCACTGATTAAAACAGTGAACTTAAGGCAACTGTCAACTAAATTACTCCAAATATCTTTTTTAAAAGTTCAAAACTCATAATTATTGTATCATGACACTGTGCATTATTACATCACCAACAGATAATTTACACACTCGTCTTCTCAAGTAATAAACACATGTAGCCTTTCAAAGTATTAGTCTTGACAGATTTATTATGAAGGCCAAAATCTTCTCGATAAAACAAAATTTTGTGGAGTTTTTTCCCCTTTAAAAACATGGGACAGGGGAAAGAAAAAGATCCAAGAATTTAGATTTTACACTGAAACACAAGTATATTCTGCTTTTGAAAAATTGAATTAGCAGAATTAACTACATTCTTATAGTTTTAGAGCATTGCATTTTTAGAAAAGGAAAACCTTCCAAATTTCTTATAAAAGTATTGAATTTGCCTAGTTTTTGTTAAAGGTAAAACTTTCTGGATTTTAGGCTAAAATTCTTTAAGTTCCATTAATAATGAAACTGTTAAAAAATAAAATTAAAAGGCTTCTGTTAAAATAAAATAAAAATCAATTACTTAAGTCACTGCATTCCAGTCCTTGATCTAATTTAATCATTACAAGTGACTGCTGGTCTGATTTCTTAAAACATGGTATGAAAGTAAAAGTCAAAACTGTAATCTGATAATTTTGGGATCACAATTAAATGGATATTAGTACTGGTTCATCTAAAAAAATTTCTAAACCAAAACCACCTCTTTTATTGGATGCATTAGAAACAATGAGGTAGGCACAAAAATAAACATGTTTGGAATTTTCTTTCCCCAAAGGCTGGTAGTAAAAGCTGTTGCACATTTTAGGTTTAAACAAAAATTAAACCTTTAACTGAGGCAGTGCTAACACTGAAATTACCAAGTTCTGGCCTAATGAAGAGTCATTGTAGAAAAATGATCTATGCTGTTATGTTTTTTAAAAAACCATTCACTGTGATTTTTAGGCAAAACTTGGTACACAGGAGAAGAAGGACTGAACTCTTGGCTAGGCCAAAACTTAAAAAAAAAATAATCATCCCACCTTCCCTAAACCACTGTGCCTTTCACATTTTTATAAATATTAACTTTTAAAACCTGCATCTTTCTCTTTTTCCACAGAGTCACATTACAAAAAAGAAAAAGAAAAAAAGAAACGTCAATTAAATTACATTGTTAATAATTACTATATTAAATTTGCCCCCTACTTCAGTGACACAGAGTCCACCTATGTCACCCGCCTGCACCTTCTCCTGTCTGCCTCCTTCCAAAAAACGTTTTCCTGGTTAGTCTCTTCCTTTATTCATGAGGAGATCTGGAGCGGGAAAAGGAGGAAAAGGAGAGACCTGATTCTTTCTCTAGTGGGATCCCAAATCAGATAGCACCTGATGGCCAAAAGCACCAGCTGCACCCTGCAGCTTCAGTTTAAAAATGAAAAGAACCCAACACCAGTGATGCTGGCACACGCAATAGCATGTTTAGAGTGCAACATGGCAGGTCTGTACTCCAGTTGCAAATGATTCCAAGTTATGAAGACTCCAAAGGACAGCAATCCCTTGCCAAACTAGAGAGTTTCTACCAGCTGAGAAGAGAAGTCCTGCCTAAAGTCATGAAATAAACTTGACTGCTTCCTCCAGACCGTACAGAGGCGAAGAAAACCTGTGAAGAAAGAGATAAAGAGAAAAAAAACTCATCAGACTATTGAACAAAGGTAGGAAACCAACATAAAACAATCATGGGGCTGAATTTATTTACAGAACGAGGACAGCTTTTCTCACTCCTGTCATAATGCCTCGCTTTTCTCACTCCTGTCATAATGCCTCGCATGTGATGGACAGATACAAAGATTATGGGAGTTTCAATCCTGACCCATCTGCAAGGGAGCAGGGTGAAAAAGATTGTTGTTCATTCAAGGTGACATCCAAGCCTCTGTGCAATATCCATTTGCAGCAGAAAAACCACGTGGAAAGACATCTTACTTGCTCATTGATGTTAATTAAAGCTTTTGATTCCAGGAATCAAAAGTTCAGTGTGCATCAAAAGCAGTGATGCTCTAATCCTTTTGCCCTCACTCAAATGTCAGGGGATTGGTGTCATCATTCATTCTTCCTCTCCTCCAGAGTTATTATAAAACTGCTAAACTGTTAGAAGTTAGAAAATATATACATATATATATGTATACCTTACCTTGTCGTTACGTTCACATAGAAATTTGAGTCTTTGTGCTCTTTTGTGCATAAATACGCCATCCAAATGTCCTGTTTCCACTGACCGTATTTCAATAGCTTTTTCTCCCCAGCCCATAATCTGATTAGATCGAATGTAGGCTTTAAGATGAAGAAAAAAGCCACTATTAAATATAATAATGAACAGTAATAATCTCCATCTTGGACATTCTACATCCTCTTCATTTTTCATACAAAAGAAAAATTACATTTAATCTTAATGACATAAATATTCCTTAAAAAAATTGAAAGAGAATATTTAGATTTTAGATAAGCTTTTAACTAATTACCATCTTTTCTCTACTAATACAAGTTTGATCTAGTGCTTAAGGCACCAGACTAGAAAACAGGAGACAGTGAGTTCAAGTCCTGTCTAAGTCAGGAAAGCCAGTTGGGTGACTTTGGCCAGTTGCTCTCTCTCAGACTAACCCACCCCACACCTTTGCTGTTATGGGGAAAATAGAAGGAGGAAGGTATGGAAGCTCTGGGACGGGGGGAAATGGTCCTTCTGGAAGTCCAGAAACGGGCCTGTTGTGAAACGGCTTCAGGTAAGCCTCCAGAACCCGGGGCAGGCTGTTTTCGCCTTCCCAGAGGCCCGGGGGAACCTCCGACCCATGGGAGGGCGAAAAACGGCCCTCCCGGAAGTACTGGAAGTAGCAAAACAGGTCTGTTTCTGGCTTCCTGTGGGCCTCCAGAGCCTGGGGAGGCTGTTTTCGCTCTCCCAGAGGCCCGGGGGAAGCCTCTGGACCCTTGGGAATGCAAAAACTGCCTCTCCCAGGCTCTGTAGGCCCACTGGAAGCCTGAAACAGAAAGTTCCGGTAGCCCATGCCCACCCCACCCCTGTGCTCATAAAAAAATATTCTTTCTTCAATATTGTTTACCTTCCAATGTATAGTCTACAAATAACTGATCCTTTAATAATATTATCAAGACAACAATACATAACATCAGATTATTTTTAGAAAAATCTAACTGGGTACAAGAAGCTTGAAATGTATTATTTCTGAACTTGTTGGCATGCAAAAATATCCCTGGGGTATTTTTCTGCAGTACATCTGAACACTTTATAGGTGCAATTATGCCTCCATGGTCAAATTGTGCTTTTTTTCATCCAAACCAACTAAATTTAAGTACAGATGGGCTGAATAATATATTGGTATAGCAGCAATATAGTAACTATTATGTCCTCTGACTTAGCAATAGAAATAGAAAATATAATATCTGTCAATCTGTCATGATATCATAGATTGTTTAATAGCCAAAGTGACTGAATTTCAGATAAAGAACCATTTAGCTACTATTTTCTGTAAGCATTTTGTAAAAGCTTGGTGTACATACCCACAGATGTAGGCATTTCCCCCCACTGCAGAACCACATCTTTGGTGATCCTTCCATATGTGTTGACATATACTCCTTCATCCTCATAGCAAACAAGCAGTTCCATTCCATCAGTGTTAGGAAGAATAATGATCGCATGGGGCTGGATACTACACTGAATCTGCAAATACATATATCTGTCAACTCCTAGTTGGCAACAAGACATTCCTCATTTTCTCTGAATTTAACCACACATTTCCTAGACTTAGAAATAATCCACGGGATCATAAACGTTCTCAGATATAATGGATTTGTGTCACACAGCTCTTCTTTTATTTATTGCTTACCAAAGCACAAAACTCATCTTCTCTAGTATTTATGGAGATTCTCAATCATCCAGGTCACAGCTGTCCCAAAAGTGCTTTTCCAAAGGCAACTGGACTTATTGATTTTTTTTTTCCTTTGAAAACATTTTAGAATTAAAGAAGCCTCTTGGATGAGAAGTGAAATACTTTCAAAACAAAAACAAAAAAACGCAAGGAAGTCCCATTGTCTTTTGGAAAAGCACCTTTGGCTTATCTCCTCTAGATATACATGCTTTGACATAAATTATTAATTATATGCCACCCTTTCAGCCTTTAGTACTTTTTGGATGCTGTGTTTTTTCCATTATAAAAAAAATGGATTAATTTACATGGTTACAATCCTACATACTTACATGAGTTGGAAGATAAATATCATACACTGATCCTGAGTCCACATCAACTGCATGAAAACCAGCACTGGAACCATAGATCACCTTCAATCTCTGGCCTTCTTCTACAGTAAGATCCACTAATAATGGCTTATGTACCAAGTCTCCAAATGACTGTTAAGTAATAAAATATATACATATATATTGAAGAGATTATCTTGGAAACCACTATGGAAAATATTTCATCTGGAATGGACTAAGCAGTATTCATTGATTCCATCATTATTGTTCACTTGCTACAGTGTATGGCAATGAACTTGTATTATGAGAAGGACCCTTGCATGTGTATTTTAGATCAGATAATCGTATGCTTTTTACGATCTTTTACAAAAGTTTAGAGTTTGATTGCTACTGCTTCATTTCCTTTGTAAAAGCTACTGATCGAACTTTTACATAAATGAAGAAAAATACCAATTAAAAGCAAAGGGGGAGGCATTATATTTTAAAAGTGTTATTATCAAATTTCATCCTTAAGTAACTCTAGTCCTTTTTTCAGAACTTCAAGACTGCATTCAAGTGACTAGCTTTTCCCTTGTCAATCTTTTTGTTTCCATTTGATTCCTTCATCTATTTCTTAATAACCTTCCCTTTCTCCACCTTGAATATTCTTAAGCAAATCAACGAACAAAGCTTTATATCATTTTTCCTATGTAGTGCTGCCTAGCTCATCTTGCATGACTATTAATCTAAAACTTGGTAGTACATGGAAAGCTGTGCTTAATAAAATCCTGCGACCTGAAAGGAAAATAAGAATAATGAGGAAAATTACAACAGTTCTGATTGGGGAATTGGCAACAAGTCTCATGACTAAGGGACACCAGTAAAACGTGTATATTATTCCTCATACACAGGCTATGTTTCTACTAAAGCAATTATCCTCATATAAAAAGGAAGAAAGCAAGAAAAGATATCAAGTCATGCCCCTGGTTTCCTTACAGGATTAATGTCTCTCTTGGAGAATAAGTTTTTTACTTAATAGCCATAGACCTAAAGGACATCAACTCAAGACTTCCAAAAGAGTGTGGTAGATATAAACTATATTTCAATTCTAGACTAGCAATATCCCCTAATAGTACTGGTGAATTTGGATTTGTTACTGCCTAATGGATAATGGTCCCTATTTAAAACACCATATCATACTTAAAAAAAATTTCACAGTTAAGTTCACTCTGACATTCTTCAATGATTTTAAATGCACTTCAAGGGAAAGAGACACTCTTACCTTAAATGCCATAAATTTGTGGTATGGCTTTGGTGCCCAGGCATAGACCTCCACAGAACTCTTCAAAGCAATTACTAAGAATTTTATTCTTTCATATTTTACTAAAATTAAAAAGGACAAAAATATTTTGTAAAATTATTTAAGTAAAATGTTTTATATAGCTGATAAGGCATCAAATTTCAATATGTATTGTAGAAAATACATATATACACATCAGAGAGTTTATAGCCTAACAGTTCACAGAATTATGAACTGCTGTTCTAAAATCATCTCAAATTACATAATAATAATTAACATTACAAGTATGTAATATTGATACATAAAATATATCAATAATTATAATTGTTTACTTTCTGCATATAAAACATACTAAAAGTCCACTTCATTCTTTAGGCAGTAATACAGTACATATAGATTTGCTTACATTAATTCCCCTATCGATCAGAAGATCAGTATCCTGCTAAAATAATTAGGTTGCTATTTTTTCATTGAAACATTAAATATAGATTTTAGTTCAGACATATTCTTAAAGTATTCAATAACTCTTAAGGGTTGATATCAGCACTTATAAATACTAAGAAATGATTAGAAATGTTGGTAGGTAGAGAAAGAAAACAAGTCCACAGAGAATGACTATTACGGATTTAGATTTAAGATAAAACTAAAAACAGACCCAAAATTATGGCATCTCTTCTTTGCAATAGTCAGCAGCAGTCAATTACGTCTTGGTATTTCATTTATATACTTTCCAACAGGATAAGAGTAGCTGTGGGATTCAAATTTTTTTACCATTGGTTCTGTGGGCGTGGCTTGGTGAGCGTGGCAGGGGAAGGATACTGTAAAATCTCTAGTCAGACGTGGTATTTGCTGGTTCTCCAAATTACTCAAAATTTTCGCTACTAGTTCTCCAGAACTGGTCAGAACCTGCTGAATACCACCTCTGGATAAGAGGGTCAGACTATCTTCTTAATATTTCTTAATATATATGATCCTACTGATACACAATCTCTGCTCTGTTCAGAACTGGTAAAACAAGAACGGGGACAGGAGCTTACTTCTATGCTTTTTTCTTAGAACATTTTAGGAAGTATTTTTACACCATATGATTTACTCATAAAAATCAAAACTTTGTTAGGAAGTTCACTTACAACTAGAATTACTTTCAAATGAAGATAATTAATCACTTACCAACTTTGTAGTGTACACAGCCTTCTAAATCACCTACAGTTGTCCATCCTTGTTTTTTTTCTACTTCAGGATCATTGTGAAGGATCTTGTTTCTTAACCATGAGAGGTAATAAACTCTCAATTTGTTTTTCTTACCTAGGCATAGAGAATTTTCTTAAGAACAGGGCAAAGTTTACACTATTACACTATGTAGAATAATTCAGTAATTGCTAGAATTGTATGGAAGCAACGTATATGATTCTATTCTATTTAATTTTACCTGCCATAGAGATTCTTATTCAAAACATTAACTTTTTTTAAAAAAATGCTTAAGTAGCCCTAGTACTCCTACTCCAAATACAAGATATATGAAGACAAACTTCCTAAACTGTATTTTAAAAGAAAATATACCCTATCCCCAGGAACCGGTAATCTATTGAGAAGAAAGAATCTGTTAGTGATGACTCCCACTTGAGTAATGAAGTAATTTAGTAATATAAGCACAGAGATACTGCAAAAAATAAATTTCATAGCATAGCTATATTTAATAAAAACATGAAATATTTTCCTTATTTAAAAAAAAACCTTAAGAACACAAAAGAGATGCAAATCTAGCACTGTACTTTTTATCCATCAATCACATGATCAGAAGGAACTTAGTCAAGATGTAAATGGAATAGTAACTTCTAGAAGACTTTTTTATATAACAGCTGTTCTGTGGTTCTCACACTAAAACTTATATAGCCGCCACTGTCATCACTGAAGTGGCAGGAAAATTTCTGTCTGAATTGTGGGCATGTGATGTATTTAGGAGGGAATATGAAGAACTGAAGCAAACATTTAAAACTTGTGACAAATATGAAAGTGCCTAAATTGTATCTGATACTAAATTATGCACTACAGTAAAATAAAATAAAAAATAGCAAGTAAGTACAAAATAATTTGTCCAAACTGAAACAACTGACTTTATTACGACAAACATTATTATGAAATTATTACGAAATGCAATTCAATGTGCATGAATGTGCGCAAAAAACACCACCACCACCAAATAAAACTAAAAAAAAAAATCCAAGCTTGTTCAGCTAGTAGAAACCAGGAAAAGAATCAACAACAATAGAAAATGTCAACCAGGCATGGCTAGAAATAATTAAAGAGAATGAAAATAAACTTGCCAAATACATTAATGCCTGTACGATCCCAAATGGTTGAACTACACTTGAATTATATGTACAGCTCTAGTTACCTGATTTTAGCTAGAAAATGTGCGGAATGTAGCAATCATCAGAGCTGCTCCTTTCAGTATCTGAATGAATTATGAATTATGTTGTGCCAATTTATGCAAGATAAGGCTTGAATCAAAGCACCATGTCTTAAATGCAAATTTTGAAAGAGCATCTAGTTGGCCTCTATGGCTGTGATTTGATCCGCCCTTCACTTAATCCAACAGAGTTAAATTCTTAGCAGGTAATAATCTCATCCTCAGTGAATTTGTCTGATACTTTTCAAAGTCAGCTAAGTTGCTAAGTTCATGCAATTTGAGGAATGCTGCTCTTTTTTTAATCTTAAAATTCCTGCCATTTAGTTTGCCTAGGTGTACTGATTTTTCTATTAAAAGAATAACTACTCTAACCACATAGTATATTACCCATGTATAATGGATGGATACCTCTAAATTTCTTTCATTTTTTTTCTCAATTAAATGTTATCTTCCCCTCATAAGAGAATTGTTAAAATCCAGTTGTTAAAATCCAGTTGTCATTTTAGCTCAATTTCATAGATCCATTCTTAAAAATTGATAAATGAAACTCATATTGAAGTTTTACTAAATCAAATCAACACTTCATCTTTAACAATGAAGTTATGTCTTAATAAAATTTAACAAAACATACTAATTTTAACATGAAGAAATCAGAGTACAGAATACTTTTATGTAGAAGGAGCAGCTATTTTATTAGACTCATATTTTGATTATTCTTCAGGAGTTCAAAGTAGCTCACAGCACTTCCTTCTCCATTTTTCTCCCACAGTAACAACCCTGCAGACTAAGTTGGTCAAAGAATGTACAACTGGCCAAAGTCACAGGAATAGTATGAATGAAAAGTAACATGCAAGTTTATATTACAAATTGTCATCATTCAGACCAATCCTGGCTGGATGTTTATTTTATTACATCATTTCAATTTGAATCAAATAAGTTATCAAAGATTCAGATAGTATAAACAAGAATTGCCTTTACCATGTTTCTCTGAGTTTTGGCATAGGTTTGGACTATCTCAAAATAGATATAAGCCAGATAACTTTACAATTTATATATGCTTGCTCTCGGCAGAGTTTGACTTTGTAATTCAGTAGCAATTTTTTAAAGCTGTGACTTATAGTCATAAAGCAACATAGTTTTAGTCAAGACATAATGTAAGCAAGGATAGTAGAAACTGTTGTGACAATGGAGCAATTCAATAAGCTTACACTCATTTTATAACATTGATCATAGAAACAGGTATTATTATTCCCCCTGAATATTCATCAAATTTTTAATAAGATAGTGTATTTATCAAACATCTCTTGGAAATAAAATGAAAACTATTATCATATAGTAAAAAAATTTGGCTTCTAATAGGTATTATTTGTTCTTCATGCAGGAAGCAGACACTTCTAAGTGTAAAATACAGGTGTCGCGCATTAGTAATACTATTAAAGTTATCAAAAAAGAACTTTTGTCTACCTGATATTGTCACCAAGACATTTAAACCTTCAAGTACATCCATTTGCTGAAATCTCCTTCTGTTTATTAGTGGATAAACTTTCCCTTGGCCACTCCGATCTAATAACATCAGGCCACTTTCTGTCCCCACTAATAAATTAACTCCTAGAATAAACAAGATTAAGACAAACATTTTTGGATTTACTATTGTGGAATATTTAGCTATTTAAATATCCAACAAATATTACCATGGTATAAAACCTATAAAGCTCCAGAAATGGCTTCGAAATACTTTATAGCCCTGGATCAGGAATGTTCATATTCAGCTTCAATTTTCATTTCTCGGTAGGAAATATTTATTAACAATTTTATTGGTTACCATTAGAATCAAAGGCTGTCATTAAAAGTTATTAATACAATATCTAAACATGACAAACCAGACTTATCATTAAGAAACATGTTAAGTTTCATGTTCATAAGTAGGACTAGGTCCATATTTAATTAATAAGTCAGTTGCAAATATAGGAATGAAGTAGCAGCTAGCATAAGATTCTATACCCCATAAGGCAGCACATAAGATTTCAGAATTGAATCTCTTCTTGTATTTGCGGATCTCTGGGGTGTCACTCTGTGGCCGTGTATTTGTAGGATTGACATTAACAACTGATCCTTTTCTGGTTGGATCCTGCCTTATTGCTTCTGATCTCATTGCTTCACTAGTAAATCCTACTGCAGAGAGGGATAGAAGAGAGAAAAATGTAAAAAATATTTAGTAATCTTCTATGCAGATGTTATATCCACATGAACATATTTTTAATATATCATTGATCTCAAAATAATTATGTTTGATCTTTGCCTTTACAGAAATATAAATGAAAACATTAAAATAAAGGGACATTATAAATTATAAAGGAACTTTAAAAATATTTTTATACTATTGATTTGTTGCTACTCGTATAACTTACCAACAGAAGTCACAGTTGTTCCACTAGATGGAGATATCTGTAGTAATCTGGGGTCTATAAAAGGTGTGAAGGAGGATGAAGATTTGTGTTTCTGCAGTGTGTTACTAGCGGACTGAGTCTGCAATGTAAATTCCAAATAATCATCTTAATAAAACAATTTCATTCTTGAAACAGACATTTCATCTAGCTGTTCATTTCATGTATCTGTATTTTCAAAAACGTTTTTATCCCCTTTCCCCAAGTGCTACCTAGGTAGAGGCAACATGAGTGTTTTTTAAAAATAAGTAAAATTTAAAGTACCGCTATGATAAATTTCATCCATTAAACAGCCTTTGCTTCAGCTTTTACAAAATGTAATCTGAATGTATTAAGCTTTACACTAAAAACAGAAGAATCTCCTCCTGTTGAAATAAGGAGGCCCTGTTTTTTAAACTTTGGACTTTATCATCCAAATTGTTCTTTTTTATTTCATTGTATTACTTCCTACATTATACTGTCAATAACCAATTAGGAAGTATCTTCTCCATATGTAACGAACTATGAGCAATTAAAAATCAAGCTATCAGCTTTATAATTTTTACTTGTAATAGTTTTTAGGATATATTTTTTTTAATTTTTAAAATTAGATTCTTGCCAGAAAGCTGCAGCATGTTCTTCCACCATCAGTTTCACAGAAAAATATTAAGACAGTATTAAACAAGTGGAATTATTAGGAAGGGAAGAGTGTAAATGGTGACATGAAAGTGCATCGTTATAACACTAAACATGGAAAACACAAACAAGGAAGGAAAATGAAATAATGAAACTGTTAGAATGGCTTTTATTTGTCATATATGTGGGTTAATGTTGTACAGACTATGCTGCATCTTAAAAGAGAATGACAGGAGTGAAAAATTAAGTATGCCATATAAAGTTGATCTAGAAAAAAAGTAGTAATTTACATTTAAATTGTTTCATGCCTTTTCCACTCATACTGTTCAGTCTTATTTCCAAGTAAATTTCTATCATTGGACACCTTTCACTATGGCCTCTAACAAAAAATGTTTTTTCTCATTTGTATATTATTTTGCTTCTATAAAACATATCTCCTCCAGAAACAAAGCACATACAAGGTAACATTAGGAGAATAATGAGGCTAGCATACTATTCTACCTGTTGATCATACTGTGCAATTACTGACATAAGATTTCTTCATATGGAAGGCTCTCTTTCACCATAGAATGAATATATGATAAGCAAGTTCATGCTAATAAATGAAGCTTTCATTAGTAGAATAAAACCATTTTATACAATCAATTTGTATCAAATGGTGTGCAAAAATATTATTTTTTAAAAAAATTAAAATCTCCCTAAAAATTAGGAAGATCTTTATCATTGTTAACATTAATAACTGCAATGAAAGTTTTATTGTCAGTAAGGGACTCCATTTGTCATATTATCTAAAACAGTGGTTCCCAAACTTTTTAAGTCCACCATCCCCTTGGTGCTACAAATTCATCCTCAGTGCCCCCCCCCGGGGGTGGGATTCAAATTTCTGTGGGCATGGCCTAATTTGAGGGTGTGGCTTGCTGATCATGTGACTGGCTGGGCGTGGCTTGCTGGTCACGTGACTGGCTGACGTGGCTTGCTGGGCGTAGCTTGCTGGTCACATGACCTGGTAGGTGTGGTTTGGTGATCATGTGACAGGTGGGCATGGCCAGGTGACTGGCAAACCAAATACAAGTGGTCCTCACTTAACGGCCAGTTGTTTAGCAAGTGTTCTAATTTATGACTGGCCTCCCCAGAGCTACTTGACCTATTTTTGGAGTTTTGACAGTCATGCACACACACACACACACACACACACACACACACTCTTCTAACCCTGCTGGAACAGGTCATTGGACTAGGATCGGCAAAGCATCTCTGATTAGATTCTAGCAGTGAATAGAATCTAATCAGAGATTTTGCCGATTCTTGTTCATTTGTTTTATTTGTATTTATTTTATGTTGCTGAATTGCATTGACATATGTGTCCCTTCTTGTGCACAGCCCCAGAAGCTTTTGTGATTCTTTGCAGCAAAAATTACCAACCTCTGGCTTTGCTCTACTTTCAAATGTGCTGTCACTGCCATGTTCTAGTGCCGGCCGGTGCAGGTCCACCCCATTGAGTTTGTTCCCCCAGAGGGACCTGCCCAAGCAAGTCTGAGTGGAGTGGTGCACCAAGTCAATGGGGTGAGCCTGAGAGAGGGAGAGAGAGAGAGAAAAGAGAGAGAGAGAGAGAGAGAGAAGGGAAAGAAAGAAAAGGGGACAAAGAAAGAGGGGAGGATGGAAGGAAGAGACAGAAAGAAAAAACAAATAAAGGACAGAGGGAGGGAGGAGAAAGATAATGAGATATCTATTCTAGTACAATCACCTGCTCCAGCAGGGTTAGAAGGGAGTGTGTGTGTGTGTGTGTGTTTTCCTTGAATTTACCAGTACATTTTGGTTTTGCCTTCTTCAGAATTAGCACTGTAATACATTGGGGAAAAGTATTTTTTTAGAGTGGAGGTCTGGTCCAATGGATCCTGTTTAAAGCCTCAACAAAATGTGAGAGCTTCCTCATAGTCTTGACCATGTTTCATCCACAAAATCTTTAATAGAAGCCAAAGATGTTTCAATGTACTGGCAAAGATGCTGGCAAAGAAGTTTCAATGTGGAAAAGGGCCTCAAGTCTAAACTAGGCCTCATTTCAATCTGATGCATCAGGTCTCTCTCTCTCTCTCTCTCTCTCTCTCTCTCTCTCTCTCCCCCTCCTTCCCTCCCTCCCCCTTTCTTTATCTGTCCCTTTTTCTTTCTTTCTATTTTCTCTTTCTTTTCTTCCTTCTCTCTCTCTCTCTCTCTCTCTCTTTCTTTTCTCTCTCTCTCTTTCCCTCTCTCAGGCTCACCCCATTGACTTGGTGCACTGCTCTGCTCGGACTTGCCTGGGCAGGTCCCTCCAGTGCAGCGGGCTCAATGGGGTGGACCTGCAGGACTGGCATCTAGAACGCAGCAGTGGCAGCACGTTTGAAAAGTAGAGCAAAGCCAGACTGGCTTTGCTCTACTTTCCCAATGTGCCTGCGGGGCCAGCGCCTCCTTTCTTCCACACTTCTCTTCCCCTTTCCTTCCTTTTCTCATTTCCTCACTTGCTTTATTTTTTTTCTATTTTACACCATGATAAAATAATAAAGAAATAACGAAGAAAAACCATTAGAAAAAGGACCCTTGTTATAGCAGCGCTTCCTATTCCAGAGCCAAGATATGCAAATTTCTGAGGGAAAAAAAGTTCATCGCGACTCCACTTCTATGTCTGCATTTTTATATTGGCAATTTCCCCCCAAAATGTTACTTTGTATATTTTTTTCTGATGAAAGTATTGATTGTTGCGCTTTGAAATGATGGGCAGATGTTGAAATTGTCTGAGGAAAGGAGCGAAAAATGGAGGAGAAACAGCCAAACTTTGTTCCGGGATCTTCACCAGGGGCTGTTTTGCAAGGAAACGTGGGATCCCAAGCCACAGAAAGAAAGGGGGAGATGCCTTCCCATTGGGGGCTGAGGGGGGGACTGGAAGGGGCTCTTTGAGAGAAACACGGGTCTCAAGGATGGAAAACACTGTTTTTTTCTGTAAAGCCGAGAGATCCCTATGGAAACCCCCCCCCATCAAGGGGATGGGGCCTGGGGAGAGGATCCGTCTGGATTAGGGGGGATCCCTGCAGATCCTCTCCATCTCTTCCTGCATGGACTGTCAGCTGAGGGTTTTCCTGGCTTCCCTTCGGATTGGGGTGAGTGTGGGACTCCCAAGTCCTGGCTAGCTGTGGGGCTGCGCCTCACCCCTTGTCCGCCACAGCACCTGCTGGGGGCTCCCTCCTTCCAGACTGAGCTGGGGGAGCCTGAAGGACCCCTCAAGCTCTGGCTCCATTTTGCCAATCTGGAGTCTCGGCAACTCCAGCCTGGACACCCTCTGGGCACTGTGGGAACTCAAAGGGCATCTAGTCCGCCCCTCCAGGCGCACAGAGAAGAACTACACCTAAAAGAACTACACAAACTGCATTTTTATTTACTTTGCTGACAGATCATTTAAATAGAACTGGCCATTACATGATACAGAATTTCTCATGACATAACTGATATTATCTAACATACTGATATTACCTAAGTGTTGATATAAACCATAATTACATTGATAGTTTAGCAACTTGACAAAATTTCAATTCATTTCAGAAAATAAGATAGTCTTTTCATTCAGTTGAGTGCATACTTGGGTATCATGTGTTTCATTTTGTAAGAAGATTAAATGTGCAAACCATACAACTTATCAAATAATGAACCCTCTTAGTAGTAGTAACTAGGAAGTAATATGCTAGGAACTATACTCCCAGAGAAGTTAGGAAAATGTGAAAGTGGCCTAAATTGAGGGTCTAGAACCCAGTATACCATATTTATTTTTCTGGTTTGTTTCATTTTTCTAGCTTATATGACCTACTAAATTGACAAAGCTATCCATGACTTGTTAAATGCATCTGATCTTAAGAGGAAAAAGCACATGTAATCAAAGCAGCACATGGTACATAGAATTTGTTTTGTTATCTGAATGCAATCTACATCTATTTCTGAAATGTTTAGGAACTTTTGGTCATTTACCATAATTTTTATATTAAATAGATAAATAGATTTATTTTCAGGTGTTTTATCTGATTACTGGGGACAAGCAACATCACTGTGGTTCATGACATGTGGTTGATAATGCCTATATGATCTTAAAAAGCAATATATAAGGATTTCCCTTTTTCTAATGTGAAATAAGTAAAGAGCACTGACATGGAATTCCTGTTAATCACTTTTAGGAAGTAATGAGGCATATAATCTAATTGCTGTTTACAAGGTATATCTACTGTGGTTTATTAGCTTCACTGTCTTACAATACTGGAAGCATTGCAAGAACAGCTTTCTGCTAGCCTCTTTCCAGACTTTTAGAAATTGGGGAGAAACAAGAATGGTGTTCTTGTACACATTCTTCTTTACTACTAAAAGTATATTCATACACTATCCCAAGGCTATTATAAGGCATGGTGCTTCTTGGGGTTTCTAGAATCCAAGCTATCTAGCATTATAGAGTAGTCCTCAATTTATAACAGTTGCTTAAGACCTTTCAAAATTATAATGAATTTGAAAAAAGCTACTTATGGCCATCCTTGAAGTGAAGACTCTTGGACCAACACTGAAGTCTCGTGATTGTATTCAGGTGTTTGGTAATCAGTTCACATTTATGGCCAGTTGGAGAATTCCACAGTCACATGT